TCCCTGAGTTATCTCCCCTGCATTCAGTCTGGCCTTGGCTTGATGACGTCGCTTCTGCAAGCTCCAGATACGAGCCTTCTTCTCTGAAATATCTGAGGCTCGAACCTTAGCAGCAATTGCCTCCTTCAGCATAGCGTCGCCGATGGCCCATTGGATTTTAGACTCCAAGTCTGTGTACTGCAACTCCTCTAGATAACGAGCGGCCCCCGAGTATCGATATATCGTCTCGTCAAAGCGCTTAGCATAGAAGGGACTGACTTCCGCAAGAGCTTTCAACCCTTCCACAATAGGCGCTCGAAACTCAGAGAAAGAGCCCCACCCGTGCATTACAATGCAGAAAGCTTGCCTCACCAAGTTTTCTAAACGTCTGGAAAGAAAAAGAACAGAATGGGGAAACAGACGAACCTTCTCATCACACACCCGCTCGAAGTCCTCGTGCGGGAAGATCACAGAGATGGGTGGAATAAGAGGATCCTCTGCTCCTTCATCATCAGATATGACAAGAGGTTCGGCAACAGAAGCCCCACCTGGCGTACAAGCTAAAGCAAAGTTAGCAAAATAGATGGAGACAAACGCAGCAAGTCTAAACATGCGTTAGGTTCACCCTGAACGCAAGAAAGTTAAACTTGCGTTCAATAGCCATGAACGCAGGACTTCTGCTTGTGTTCCAGATTGGAAGATTAATCTCTTCATCTTATCAGTAAACACGGAAACCTGCATCCGCATGCAAGACCCAAAGAACACATGAATGATTGTTCGTACTTAAAACAAACAAATCTTATCAACAAACACAGAAATTTCTCCGTGTGTTCAACATCAAGGGTTTGATTCTTCACCATTACAGTGGACACAAGAAGTTCTTTCAGTCAAGAAGATGAACAGTTCTCATCAAGAGAAATGCGAACTCTATGCACATTCAAGATTGAAACGACGAATTCTATTCGTCATCATCAACCAGAACTCATCTAGAGAGTTTCAAGAAAACCCATTGATGAAGAATGCCTGGAACGAAGAAGGCAGCGGGACTTACCTCGATGACCAGGCGCGGGAGGCGTCGACGTCGGCCAGGAAAAGGACCCGAAAATCTTCCTTGACGGCGGGATAGGGTGCACCGTCTCGTCGTCATCGCTCGAGCGAGATCTCTTGGGGGCCATCACTGGAAGATGAAACGAAACTGCTGAACAGTTTTTAGAAATAACGAGAAGAAACTCGTTTGGGAGTTCAAGAAAGAAGCTTAAACGTTAAAGCCTCTTGACATGACTAATCAGCCCTATTTATAATGAAAGGGCAGAGTTCCAAGACTCCCGCCCCAATAGGGACTCTTCGTCATCATTATAGCCGCTTGGGCTTCTGATAAGACGCAGGACAAGACCCTGCGTCCAAAAGGCAAGCGAACCAGACCCAAACGCAGCAGTTTGGAGATGCGTTCTTTCAAAAATACGCAGCTCAATTCAAGAGTATGAACGCAGGGGGTACCCCTGTTCCCAGAATCAGATATTTCGGAAAATATGTGGCTTGAGTTTTAAAACTTTGGCGCAGTTTAAAACAAAATATCTGACAAAGTCTTCTCAGAATTTAAACCCTACTTTCCTCAAAGTTGCCCTGAACGCAACACTTCTACCTTATCGACTCTCGTCAATAGAGCGATAAGTCCTCAAAGTTGCCCTGAACGCAACACTTCTACCTTATCGACTCTCGTCAATAGAGCGATAAGTCCTCAAAGTTGCCCTGAACGCAACACTTCTACCTTATCGACTCTCGTCAATAGAGCGATAAGTCCTCAAAGTTGCCCTGAACGCAACACTTCTACCTTATCGACTCTCGTCAATAGAGCGATAAGTCCTCAAAGTTGCCCTGAACGCAACACTTCTACCTTATCGACTCTCGTCAATAGAGCGATAAGTCCTCAAAGTTGCCCTGAACGCAACACTTCTACCTTATCGACTCTCGTCAATAGAGCGATAAGTCCTCAAAGTTGCCCTGAACGCAACACTTCTACCTTATCGACTCTCGTCAATAGAGCGATAAGTCCTCAAAGTTGCCCTGAACGCAACACTTCTACCTTATCGACTCTCGTCAATAGAGCGATAAGTCCTCAAAGTTGCCCTGAACGCAACACTTCTACCTTATCGACTCTCGTCAATAGAGCGATAAGTCCTCAAAGTTGCCCTGAACGCAACACTTCTACCTTATCGACTCTCGTCAATAGAGCGATAAGTCCTCAAAGTTGCCCTGAACGCAACACTTCTACCTTATCGACTCTCGTCAATAGAGCGATAAGTCCTCAAAGTTGCCCTGAACGCAACACTTCTACCTTATCGACTCTCGTCAATAGAGCGATAAGTCCTCAAAGTTGCCCTGAACGCAACACTTCTACCTTATCGACTCTCGTCAATAGAGCGATAAGTCCTCAAAGTTGCCCTGAACGCAACACTTCTACCTTATCGACTCTCGTCAATAGAGCGATAAGTCCTCAAAGTTGCCCTGAACGCAACACTTCTACCTTATCGACTCTCGTCAATAGAGCGATAAGTCCTCAAAGTTGCCCTGAACGCAACACTTCTACCTTATCGACTCTCGTCAATAGAGCGATAAGTCCTCAAAGTTGCCCTGAACGCAACACTTCTACCTTATCGACTCTCGTCAATAGAGCGATAAGTCCTCAAAGTTGCCCTGAACGCAACACTTCTACCTTATCGACTCTCGTCAATAGAGCGATAAGTCCTCAAAGTATGCGAGATTTGCAGGTTCAACAACATCAACCGGATTCAAGCCAAAGAGCAGAATCCAGTCGGCGTAATGAAGAGGATGAGACGATATTTGAAGATCATCCTCTAGATAAAGACAACTCCGGAAGCGATCCGACCAAGTCAGCCACTCAACCTCCACAGATCTATTTGAAGAAAAGCGAGGAAGAGGACAAGAAGATGCATGATCTCGAGAGCAAAGTCAACGCTCTGATGACGGCTCAGGAAGTGAAGAAAACGGGCATTCCATACCCGTACCCGAGGGAGTGGGACCTGATTCCTTATCCCCAGAAATTTAATTTGATTAACTTTACTCCTTTTGATGGCAGGGGTTCACCAACTCAGCACTTGATTTATTTTAAGTCGCATCTCGGCGCAATATCCGGGAACGAAGCCCTGATGGTCCGGTCATTCGTAGGAACCCTTCGCGGGCCTGCCTTCGATTGGTACCGACGCCTTAAGCCCGGGAGTATCACTACCTGGGAGGATATGGAAGAACTATTCCTCACCAATTTCTTCGACGACGACACAGAGGTCTCAATTGGCACGTTGTTGGATGAGAAGCAGAAGGATGGGGAATCGGTTGATGTCTTTGTCAAACGATTCCGGGACAAAGCGGTGAACTGCAGAGATCCACTCACTGAGGAATTTATTCTGCAAACATGTCATAATAATCTATCCTTGGATGTATTAGAAGTGGTGGGGGTTGTTCCCTGGATGTATTAGAGGTCATGGGGGTTGTGCCCTCTAAAACTTGGAAGGAGTTGAAAGTGAGAGGTGAACAGGCTGAACGCTTTCTCAAGAGAAAGAATTTGGAGAGAGGTCTGCCACCAGCTAATAATCAAAAGCAGAACTTTAATCCTCGAGGCAGAGGAAGAGGGTCGGTGGCCGCTGTCGATGCACATCAAACGTCACAACAGCCACCGCAGCAACAACCGCAACAAGGAGCCCAGATTCCCGAAGGAATACTCTTTCAAAGATGATGAAGTCCCAGTCATCTTCAAATACTTGTTAGAGAATAACAAGATCAAGCTTCCACCGGTCACAAACCAAGAAGAAGCAATGAAAACCAATGACCCGAAGTATTGTGCCTATCACAGGAGGGTCCACCATCCCACTAAGACGTGTTATGTCTTAAAGGACAAAATACAAACCTTAATAGATGTTGGTATTGTGTTGCCGAAGCCAAAGGAGAAGAAAGTAGGCGCAAACGCGGTCTCAATTAGCTTCGGATCGGTTCCTTTGTC